TAAGAGCTGTAGCCTTTCAGGATCAGGAGGCAGACAGTTAGCAGTACCGCTTTACCACTATAGCGCAGAACACCCACAAAGGTATTTCCTAGGAGTTGTAGTCTACTGATCCTGTAGCTAGATAGACACTAGTTGTGCTCATATTGTAGTAGCACTGAACACCCAGCAAGGTGTACCTAGGAGCTGCTCTGTCCATACTCAGAGGTGGATTAGACAGGAATATCTATTTACAGTGGTAGTGCCTACCTAGTATTCCTTATTTTGGGATTCCTTTCTATATTACCTTCTGGTATATCCTAATCCTAACCCATCTGTCCTCTACCCCCACTTTGTGCATTCTTCCTCTTAGTGGTTATTATCTCCGCTTAGTGAATAATCCCCCTGTGGTTTTATTTTCATGTTTAGTCAGTAGCATTATTTGGAGGCTTTGACTTACCAGTACATAGGACAAGCACTGTCCTGGTTTTACCCAGGGGTAACTGACCCACATACTTAGAGGTTATTGCTCACTATCCCCAGTTGGGTATTTTGGTTCAGCTGTATCGCTTTATACTTTGTTCCTAGAAAGCCCACTGGAGGCAATGTGTATGCATGCCCTACCAAGTCATTGTAGATACATTAGTTAGCTTTTCATTATTTTTATTCCAATACACTTTACCAGTTTGGAATCCCTTACTTTTCCGGGTTTGGGGATTCCTTCCTCTCCACATATTGTAATAATGTAACAACACTGATACATTCTCACATTCACATTCATATGTGTATTGGCACTTGATATAAGGCAGTTACTAAAGATTACTGTTTATATCCCTATTTCAAAATCGGAAATATTTTAAATATTGCATTATCACAGAAATAGTCTGTTGCAAAGTTACAGACAGCAGAGGTCATAGACAATTGTGACATTCTACAACTTCCCTTTGGACGAAACCCATTTACAGAGGTCACGTGTATGATATAAATCTGTATATTTAATAACACTGGCTTTGTCAGAGTACACAGACGCAGAGATGGAGAACAAACTGTCCAAACGCTTTTTCCTGTATATCACTACTTATCCACAAGATATAGCAAGCGTACTTGTCTTGGTGTACTTCCCATGACTATAGGAGGAAGTACTTCTAGATGTCCAAGAAAACTAGATTATTCCAGGATATCCTTATCAAGGACTTGTCTACCACCAGTACCTGAAAGGGTCAGATATATGCCCATTTTGATTCTTTTTAAGAGAAACTGGACCTTCTTCCTAATGCCAGACATTAAGGCTCGTCCTGCTACAAGAAACGTGGATTCTGAACCTGGTCCTGTAGGTTCTTCAAGAAAAGTCAACCTGTATCTACAGCAAATAACCCCATCCCGGTTAATGGAATTTATTAAGACTATAGGCAGTGCATTTCATCAGTACATTACTAATTCAGTGAGACTGCATATTTCTTTAATTCATTAATAGCATACACAACCAGCCAGGCTCATTTTTTCAGCTGAATGCCCTACCCACAGGCTAGATACCAGCATGTGTGCTTGCAGCACACTGCAACGGATAACTCTGATAGGTGTTCACGCCTCATTTATCACTCCGATGTGTTGTCAAGTCGCAGTTTGGATATTGGGCAGGTTTGGGGGAAAATTTTAATCTGTTCTTTCAACCATGTCATTTGATTCTGTGAATCAACAGAAATGAACTCTGCCGCTCAGCTAATTCGTATCTTACATCACAAAACATTCAGACATCCATGAGAAATAACATCCCTATGACTTAGCAATGTTGTATATAAGCAACTCAACAAATGTGTACAAATAGTCATCTTGAATGGACGTGTGAATAGATTTGAAGAATAATCAGCTGTAACTAGTTATGTTTAATAATCTGCTATATATTGTGATTGTCTTTCCAGATGATCTCCATTGGTTAAAGTGAATGTTTTTAGTATTGTCTATGCAATCTTTGATAGGGACACTTCAAAATGCCTCTCACATGTGTTAAAATGTGTTCATTTATTCATAGTCAAGTCAAGTGTGTTTTGGTGGCATTAATCTTCATGTTAGCCACACAGTTTACTACATATACAAATCTGGCTGGATATAGAAAAAAAAATGTATGACTGCAACTTTATAAAGTACACATAGTCTGGGCATTATATATAGTAAATAAATGGTTCTTATGACAAAAATTAAAATATGTGAAGTTGTATAATCTAGAGATGAGCAAGTGTTGCCTATTTCCAATGTATAAAGGAGTTAAAGGGTTCAATTTCTGACGTAGTTATCAGTGGCGTCTTTTAAAACTTTTCATTAGACCCATCCATGTTTAAATCTTTAATGGCCGCAAACTTATCAAACACAACACAGAAAAGAGGAAGACCACTGATGTAGGACAAGCTAAGTTCCCCTAACTTAAAGTAAATTGAAAAAAATGTATTTTGAGTGCAAAGTATTTTGTTTTATATGAAATGATGTGAAATATTACAATTAATTTGGGCTATGCAGTTGCCATTTAAATGAAGCCAGCCCAACTGCAACTCAGATGGAACCCCAAATTCTGTTAACTTGAATTATTGTGCGTTTTCAATGGTTAGACAGAGATATGGAGTGAAGGCCCTCCTCCCACTCCTGCTCAAGGTACACAACCCAAGTCTGAAATTTAGCTTGAGTTATTCATATAAAAGTGAACTGTCACTTCTCTGGATTTGGCTCCACTGAATAAAGCATTGGACTTTTTAAAAAATGCTTTGTTTTCTTTAAAATAATGCTAAAGATTTAGCAAGTACCCTCACAATCCAGTTCCGAAACAGTAATTCAAAGCCAGGGCAAACATTGCAAATAAAAAGAAGAAATAGAAACATTGTTTCATTTATCATCCTCTCTGTATGCTTTATTTATAAAGAATGCAAAGTGGAAAGGACAGAGCATTTAAAGGGACACTATAGTCACCAGAACAACAACAGCTTGTTGTACATGTTCTGGTGAGCAGGGCCGGACTGGGAATTAAAAGCAGCCCTGGAAAAAAATTATTTACCAGCCCCATAATGCATTGCGCCAGCATAGTGTTCAGATAAAAAGAGTTAGAAAAGATAACTTAAAATAAAAGATTACTCCAACGTAAAAGAAATACACTCATAGGCTTCAAAATAAACAAATGTGCAGATTTATTTTAAGCAAACATGCCGTTACATGTAATCAATGTTTCAGTCCAACTACCTTGATATATCAAGGAAAGCTTGGTAATGGGACTGAAATGGTGAATGAATGTAGGGCACAACTGTAAAAAATGACGTTATCTTGTTTATTTTGAAGTCCTGTGGGTGCACTCTTCACTTATATATCTGCTCATTACATATGGTACATATTAATTACATTTCTCTGTGTATTATGCATATATAAATCTATTTCCCCCCTCCACTTGTGTCTCTCTATTCCCTTTCTTCCCCCTCCCATTTACCAAGAGAAGTCAGAGGGGGCCGGCCACGTTCCACGCTGGAGCCGCCGGCCGGGTGACAGCCTCGCCGGTCCAAGGGCACTCCTGTCACTAATGCTGAGCACTGTAGGAGGAGGGAGGAGCATGTCTATCATGCTCTCTCGCGGTTCCCACAATTCCCAGCACAGAATGCTGCGTTGAGAATTGTGGGAACCGCAAGGGAGCATGATAGACATGCTCCCCCCTCCTCCTACAGTGCTCAGCATTTGTGACAGGTGTGCCCTTGGACTGGCGAGGCTGCCACCCGGCCGGCAGCTCCAGCGTGGAACGCGGCCGCCCCCCTCAGAGTGTGCCACCGGACCGGCCATTTCCTGGTATCCCGGTGGGCCAGTCCGGCCCTGCTGGTGAGTAGAATCATTCCCTTCAGGCTTTCTGCTGTGCACATTGTTTTTTTCAGAGAAAATGCAGTGCTTACATTACAGCCTAGTAATAACTTCACTGACCACTCCTTAGATGGCTGCTAGAGGTGCTGCAGAGTAAGCAGCACTGCCATTCAGTGTCTCCACCCTCTGCATGCAGACACTGAACTTTCCTCATAGAGATACATTGATTCAATTCATCTCTATGAGGAGATGCTGATTGGCAAGGACTTTGTTTGACTTGTGCTGGCTCTTCCCCTGATCTGCCTCCTTGTCAGTCTCTGTCAATTCTATGGGGAAGCATTATGTTTGGCTCAGACCACCACTTCTGATGATGTCAGCAGAAAGGGGCAGGTCTGAGGCAGACAGGTGCAGAGCCAGCAGCTGCTGACTTGATACAATTAAGATTTTACTATATTTAGAGAAGCAAGAGGGGGCCAGGGGGGGCTAGATGGTGATTTTAACACTTTAGGGTCAGGAATACATGCCTGTGTTCCTGACCTTATAGTGTTCCTTTAACAATGATTGACAGGAAGCTAAGATGGAGGTGCCCAGTGGCATGATAAAAAGGTGTGGATTTTTACATTTAATTTTATTTTTAACATCTCACAAATAACTCTTTGTAAACTATGGGGATATGTAAACATAATATTAAAAATCAAGGGAAAAGACACACTCCCTTTAAAGTCAGCATATTATAAAGTAAAGAATTGAATTTTTTGGGTTGTCTTTTGTTGATAGAAGAAGAAAAAAACACTAAAGTAGTAACAGTTAAAACACATTTCAGTGATTGTTAAGTAAATACATTTTACTTGCAATTATATATTGACTACTAGGTCTACCAACACTGCATGTTCCGTGCCAATAAGTATACATAAACATAAAAAGTTAAGATAGAAATAAATAATAAGGTTGGAGCAATTCTTAAGGAAATCTAAATAACAGTATCCTAACAGCTGTTAAATGTAAAATCTATGTAATAAGCCCGTAATGTAATTATATGCTACATTTTCTCTTTGACTGTGATAATGTGGTGATAACTCCACAATATTTTATTGCTAATAAGTACAGCACACAAATCCCTATGGATCACAAGCAGGAAAGGTTAGGCTCTTTTCAGCATTCCCGTTTATGTAATTAGACCTTTTACATGATGTTGTAGTCAATCATAAACCTCTTACGATGCAAGAACTTAATAACGTATAAAAAAAAACCTTAAAACCACTTCTTTCTTCCATCATGCTAATGGATTTCCCTAGGAGTAAAGCGCTAAGGATAAAATGTGCTGGTTTGCTGTCACGTAAATGTCCACAAACAACGGCAAATGTCTATCGTTCAAACAAGTCAAATATTAATTCATAGAATATTCATATGTTCTACATACCAAGATCAAAGACTCCTAGATGTTATCAATGTGAAACTGCATGCCTGGTTTTCTCAAATCTAAGAACCAGGAAATTGAAAGCCTGCTTGAATTTCTCAGCTTCTGAGATCCAGAAATTCTGTTTGTGAAGAAATGCAAAGGAATTGCATATTGTACTGCAATGCAGCCAAAATAGATACATTCTCATATTTAGTTATTTTTCTTGCTCTGTGATCTTGTTTTAACACCTACAATTCCCTTGTGACTTTCCACAATCCCTATTTAGTGAATAAATCCTTCTGTGATAGATTTGGTAGACCTTTCTTAAAATGGGTTAGTTATAATTTGGTATAATTAGGTATAATTTGTGCTTCCCTGCAGCATCCATTAAAGGACCACTATAGGGTCAGGAACACAAACATGTTAAAACCATCATCTAGCCCACTGACTCATCTTGTCCCCCTAAATATAGTAAAATCTTACTTTTATTCCAGTCTGCTGCCTCTGCCCTTGATCTGCCTGCTTGGCTGACATCAACACTGTGCAGCACTGCCCCAGGAAGCACCTCTAGTAGCCAACAGAGGAGTGGCCAGTGGGGGTATTTCTAGGCTACAATGTAAACACTGCATTTTCTCTGAAAAGACAGTGTTTACTGCACAAAGTCTGAAGGGAATGATTATACTCACCAGAACAAATACAATAAGCTGTAGCTTTTCTGTTGACTATAGTGTCCCTTTAACCCTATCTCTATTATGCAATGCTTCTTGCAGCAGTAAAATGTATATGATTCAAGTATCTAAACTTTATCCAGCTTTGAATTTTATAGGCATTACTGATCCTGTCAAAAACAAGAGTGTATGAGAACACTGACATTGGAAAACAGCGCAAGTAGTTTGTCCTTTGGTGGTTCCCCTCTGATATGCCATACAGGTTTTAGATTACTGGTGCCATTACGTAGAGAACCTTAGCTAAGCGTACCTCAGACTGATCCCACCCACAAGGTCCAGATTCCAAATGCTTGCTGTTCCCTCTGCAGGATAGGTACAGCAGCTCCAGGCAATCATTTCAGCTTACACCGAGCTTTGTCAATGTGGTATAGCTAATAGTCCTCTAGGCACAGTGAGCAAGGGGTTCACGATTGGATTACCAGTTTAACTTAGGGAGACCCTAGACATAAGCAAATAAATCTAAAACACAAGTTCATGAGACCACCGAGAACAGCTTGTGTAGCTTGACCTTCAATCCTGCCATGGTCCTGTGATAACCTGATTAAGGCCTCTCCTATGCAACAACAGACATTGAAACAGACTCATACATGTGTGTCATAATCGTCATATGACATAATGAAGTATCTGAATATGTGTTTCATGGATTGGTTGTTCAGCTATTGTTCTCCTACAGCACTCAACATACCGCTTATGGCTAATAACAGTAAACGGGATTTACTACAGTATCAAAAAAGCTCAAAAACATATAAAAGTCATAACGCATTTCTTTTCACAAACGTGCTGTGTTGTAGGAATAAAAAAGGTATTGAATATATTTGGTTAGTGATTTGATGATTAATTAATATTGGGATATTACTAAGAGTCATATTGGTGTGAGCAGCAGACAAGAGAAACTTAAAGATCTCCTGTTATTGTTGCTTCAGGTTTTTACACAAAGAGCGCAGACAGAGTTTTTTCATTTTGCGAATTACAGTCCAACATACAATATTTATTGGTCCATAGTTTCTGGGGGTAAATAAACTCAAAGAAAAAACAGAGTTCAATCTGCTGTGGTAATGTGGTTTAGCTTAGTGTAGAGAAGCCTTGGTTACTTCAGCCAACGATATAAATACTGCCGGACACCCAAATCCTGCCACCCCTCTTTCTTCTGCTAGGACTATCGCCCTGTTTTGATAATGACAATATTTACCATGTATGAATGAAAACTAATATAACTTTAGAAGAATATATAATTATGTTTCACATCATCCACAGGAAGGTCATCAGACTAAACCATCCTTTGAGTGGCCAAGATGGTAAGTGGCTAGTTATGCTTCTATCAGCTGTGCTAAAATATAAAATGTAGGGAATTTCTCCTATATGACATAAAGTAGCAATTCAGGTATTCACTAACAGCACTTCTAGATCAAATTCGTGAATTAGTCCTTAAAGTGTACTTTGGTATATATGTTATCTGTGCCAATTGATTCATATTTTTTTCTTTTTAAAGCGTGTTGAAAAGACAAAACCTTTACCTCAATTAGTTGTTGGAAATTGAGCTGTTTTCAGAGGGGTAGTTTGTTCAATGTTTTAAATAAATTTCCCTTGTATTTCATTCCAAATCACTTCTGATGAGTTAATCAGTCCCAGAAGCTATAACCTTGAAGCGAACGTGGTGACTTTGGATCCTCAGATTACTACCGTATGACAGCATGTGGAAATGTCATCATCATGAAAAACTGGATACTGACTTTGACCTCTTAAAGAGGTAGTGAGGTAGAATCACGTAATTACAATCTGAATATAATGTGGTATGACTTCGTTTTAGGTGAAGCACACAAAAGATTTTTTACTAAACCTCAGAATTTTGTCTAAAAGTATTTAAAATAATCACATTTTTGCTGGATTTGCAATTCTTATATTAACATAAGATAAATCTGGTTGAAATTCAGTGATTTCATCTAAATGAACATCTAATTCAGAACTATCCAGAACTTGCTTAAAACCAGTACATTCAGCAGGTGAATCCTATACAAAATACATGGTTTGCACAGTCAACAAACATAAGATTCTTACTGGATATTGCCTGTAACCACACAGTAAATTTACCTCCAAATTCCTTGTAAAGCTAATAAAATCTGTATTATTTACATACTGACAGCGCTAGGAGAACTGAGAATATCCCAGATTTAAAAATGTAACCTAAATGTTTAGTTTCCAAAAATTCACACTTTAGTAACTAAACCCGACTGACATGGTTTTGACTCAAATATAACGTGGGGAATTCTAAATTAATTCAAAGTGAATTTCTAATTTTGGGCTAAAATAGAAAAATTGAAAAACTGTAGCTGGCCTGGGTTATTTTTTTTGTTAATAGGCTATTAAAATTGTCCTAAATTGTCCTAAAATTAGAATTTTGAATTTCCCAAAATTGACTCTTCAGTGAATAACCCTGTATAATCTTATTGTTGTGATTCCAAAAGATGCACATCACCCTGCACAAAATTTACCATTTAGGATTAGAGTGGCATCCACACAACCCACTATGCAACCATCAGAATACCTCCAATCATCAGAACAAAAAGGAGGGTGAGAAAACAAGCAAAAGTAGACAAGTAGACAGACAGACAGACAGACAGACAGATAGATAGATAGATAGATGCTTGTGCTGAGAGCCTGCACTCCAGGGCATTTAAATTCTTAAACCCTTGTGTTGGTCTGCAAATTATATGTTTAGGCAAACATTATAGCACTCCAAGGATAAAATGTCCTAATAAAAGTTTTTTGCCAAAACTGAAATGTTCATATTTTATTCTAAGCTAAATAAAAGCTAAGTATTAATTTTATCCTGAAAATGAAGTCCTCGGAGTGCTTTCATTTTTGCCTATACTTTATAGATATTATTTTGGGAAATAGTTTCTATTCAAAAAGTAAAAAAGCAAGTTTTATTATGATTTATGGATTCTTATTGCCCACATACATTTTCCAGAGTAAATATACATTCTCTTATATTGATGCATTCATTGGAAATGGGTACTTCTCTGGATTATTCGTTTCTTTGCTGTAAACAGCCCCGCATATCACCTGCATATTTCACATAGAACATCATGTTCCCCAGCAAGAGGAAATTTAAGAATTCTTTAGATTTGTTTTCATATTCTTTTATTGCTATAACCTCAAATATAATCTGACGTGGACTCACGTCTATTTAGTAATGCACCTTTTGTTACCTTCTTCCATGTCTCTTAATAACCTATTCTAAAAAACGAAACCCACATCCAGGTTCTTTGTATGAAACATACCATTTACTAATGGCGGTGCCTACTTTAGCAGAAATGGTCGCAATGAAACTTTCCCCGTACCTGTTCTTTAATCATGTTCATCAGTTGATAGTTATATTCAACCAATCATATGTGTACAGTTTCAAGTCACTTAATGGGATGTTTTACATAAAATAACTAGATTCAATCTTAAATTTAACTTGGCCATACATTTTGTTTTTGTTTCATTTGATAATTTTTTTTATCCACATTGACTTTTTCCCAGTTTAGCATTTTTTTTCTCCTCTTCTACATTTCCTCCTTCTCCCTCAGTATCACAATCTCTCCTTACACCCACTTTCCTCATCCTCCTACATTTCCCTCTCTCTGCTACCCTCCCCCTTCTCTCAACTCATGTCTTGCACTCATTTTTCTGCTCCGTCTCTCCTACCCACAATCAATCTCATCCTAGACCCCATGCACATAAAACCCACTCACACCTCCTATCACTATCTCTCCTCCTTCTAATAGCTGGTGATGTCTCTACCAACCCAGGGCACTTCACCTCCTCTGCCCACACTAAGACAACCAGAAACCACACAAACCTCATCACAATACCCTGAACTTTATCATCATTTGCCAACATTCAGTGTGCACTCTGGAATGCCCGCTCTGTCTGCAGCAATCTGAAATCAACAGCCATACACAACCTTTTCATCTCAAACTCACTCACACTACTAGCACGCACAGAGACCTGGCTTCCCCCCTCTGATAGTGCTACTCCTGCCTCTTTATGTTTTGGTGGGCAACAATTCTCCCATACTCCCCGACCCAACAACTGTAAAGGAGGGGGTGTAGGCATCCTTCTCTCCCCTAAATGTACCTTTAAACCAATCTCCCCTGCCCCTGACGTATCCTTTACTTCCTTTGAAGTTCACATTGTCTGCCTATTTAAACCCACTCCTTTAATAACTGCTATCATCTACCGCCCCGTTGATTATCCTAGGCTATTTATTGAGCACTTTTCTTCCTGGCTACCTCACTTCCTCTCCTCTAACACTCCTTCCCTTATACTTGGGGATTTCAATATCCCAATCAACAACCCCAATTGCACTGATGCCTCTCGTCTGCTCTCTGTAACCTCAACCTTTGGCCTCACGCAATGGTCTAATTCAGCAACCATACAGCGGGAAACACTCTTGTTCTTGCCTTCACCAACCTCTGCACCGCCTCTAATCTCTCCAATATTCCTTTTCATCTATCTGACCACCATCTGCTGACTTCTGACATCAGCACACCCAGGATCCAACTGACACCACCCTCTGCACATCAATATTACAGAAAACCCCAATGTCTTGACCTAGAGCATTTCTCCACTAATTTCCAAACTCTCCTTTTACCTATCTCAAACCTCACCTGCCCTAGCTCTGCAATCTCCTTCTACAATTCCACTCTCTCCTCTCAACTAGACATCATGGCACCCCCTACACTTAAACGCAGCGAGCACCCCAACTACAACCATGGCACACCAAGCTGACTCAATGCCTCCAAAAATGCTCCAGAACTTCTGAATGCTGCTGGAGAAAGTCTCACTCCGCATCTGACTTTCTCCACTATAAATTTATGCTGCGCTCTTAAAGCTTGGCTCTTTCCTCTTACTTCAATGCCCTCATAACCACACTCTCCCACAAACCCAAATGACTATTCCACACTTTTAACTCTCTTCTTTGCCTTGTTGCTCCTCCTCCACCTACCGACTTAACTGCCACTAACTTTGCAACTCACTTCACTGACAGGATCTCTACAATCAGGGAAGAGATCTCTCATCTCTCTCCTTCCCCTTACAATACTTCCCCCAACCTCACTCCCTCTGCTGTTCTATGCTCATTTGCACCCACCATGGTGGAAGAGGTTTCTGATCTGCTCTTGTCCTCCCGCCACCCCCCCCTGCATGCTTGATCCTGTTCCCTCGCATCTCATCCGTACTCTATCTCCTTCTCTTGCTTTGCCTCTCACTAAAATTCTCAATCTCTCCCTCTCCTCTGGCATATTTCCATTACCCTTCAAACATGTAACTGTAACCCTGATTCTAAAAAAACCCC